TTGTTTATCACTTTTTCAGCACAAAATGAAAATGTCTGCAGGGCTCCTGTGCTGAATGAGGGTTATTATGTCCCTGATGAAGAGACTTACTTTAATAAAGCAGAGCTCACTTACGCTTGTGATTCTGGACGGAAACCGGTGGTGGAGGGTTGGTGGGCGACAAGCAGATGTGAAAATGGGAATTGGGTTCATAAACCACAGTGTATAGGTAAGTGTTCAGTAATATCTCAACAAATTAGTTTCAGTTAGACGCTACAAATCTGCAGGAGTGCGAACTTTATTCAATACCATCGGTTAGCTGGTCATTAAAAGAACAATGTGGAGTGATGCTGTTGTATGAAAGAAGTAATGCATTCAGTTTGAAGCCATAAAAAATTATCCTTATTTGTTATTTGTTTTATTAAATTGTACTCTAATATGTAGTATAATATTTAAAACTACACAGTAATGTAATGCATACCAAACCCAGCAATGTTTGCTTGATAGCTTAGTGTGAGTCTGACGGGTGATATTACTTTCTTCTGTTTACAGAACAGGGTCCTAAATCAGAACAGTCGAGGAGCGTGTCAGGATACATTTCACTGTGTGTTGTAGTCGCATAACTATGCATGTGACAAATAAAGAATCTTGAATCAATTAGAGGACAAGAATAATATGAAAACAAGTAAAATACAGTTTAAAGAAAGTCATCAAACGAGTTTGTTGTTTTTTATCTTCTTCAGATGAAAATGCCTGCCTCCCCCCAACAATACCTCATAGAAAATATGATAAAGCAGAAGAGGGTTGGTACAAAGAACAGGAAATTATTTTGGTACAATGTGACGATGCATATGTACTCAAAGGCAACCGTAGCCCCACGTGTAGAAATGGAACCTGGAGCCCTTTGCCTGTCTGTGAGAGTAAGTCTGCCAGATCCCACACAAACAAATCACTTTCTCACCACCTTCATCAGTCGGCTTGTAATGACAGGTTTTTTTGTTCCTCACAGGAAGGAGAGATTCATGCAGTGAGCCTCCACAAATCTCTCATGCAGTCATAATTCATCAATACCAGGAGGTGTTTTCTGCAGGTTCAGAAGTGGAGTATGAATGTGAAGAAGGTTATACTCGAAAGGGCAACGAGATCATCGTTTGTGAACGTGGACAATGGACTGCAGGGCCAACATGCAGTAAGTGTGTAAAAAATACCCTTTAATTTTACTCACCTTTCTAAAACCTAAAACAATGTTACAAAAGTTTATAAGGAACCAGTTTCTATATGTACATTAATCAGAAGAGATTCATGCACAGCATGTGTAGAAACTGAATTATTGGCTTTTGAAATTGCCGTTGCACTTTGGGACAGCTTTTTGTTTACTTTTTCCTGGTGCAGGTTGATCAAATGTTGCAAAATGACAAATGACCTGCAAGAATATTTATTTCTGCTTATGACAATAAAAATGAACCCTGCAATCCAAAACAAACAAACAGACAAAACAAAAACTTCCCAATAAATACAACAAGGTCTCACTAAATTGAAAGTGGAAAAAATAAAAATCCATATAATTATATAAATGCAGTCCAGGTCTCAGAGACATTAAACTTTACTTTGGCAACAGTCTGCTAGCATCGTAACAGGGCAGATTTACTTTTTTCTTCTTTTTTTTAATACATGGGCTGCTTAGTTTTTATAGGATGACAACCACACCTTTTTATCAGCAGTAACTGAAATGATGTAGGACTTTTGTCTTGTTTGAAAATTTGTATAAAATTTGAGAATAAATCTGATAGGATTGCCACTGTTACTTGAATTGTGCTCTGAATTCATTTGCAAGTCAGCAGGTAAACAACAGTTTATGTGACAGAGCACGTTAGCATTAAAGCTGCTTTTAAGCTGAATAGTCTCAATAATTTCTTCGGTTCTGCAGGCGAATCATCAGCAGATCAGGGACCCCCTGCATCAGACGCAAACGTCCAGCCTGAGGGGGGAGGTACTTTTTTAATCGTTTTGTTCGTGCACCTCATCTCTGTGTTTGTGTTGACTTTAAATCTAAAGCATGTTTTTCATTTAGACAGAAGAGAAAGTGGAGCTGGCAGTGGTAAACAACCGGAGGGTAAGTGAAACATATTAATTCAGTCATCTCATCTCTCAGATCATTGCAGCATTTTTGGACACAGATGTTTATTTTTGACTCTCATTTTTGATTTAGAAACAAGACTTGCAAAGCAAGCATTAAAAAAAGAAAACGGAAACTAGTAAATTTCAAACACTTTGCAGATTATTTGGCTTCAATTTTCACCCCAACCCTTATCACAGATCTGAGGAAGCTCTAAATTATCATGTCATTACTCTCCATCTTAATAAAGCAGCCCTTCGTGCTTCCAGCCCATTACATTTTTACATAGATACCTGAAGGAAAACCTGAATAAAACTCACACCTTAAATGAGTAGGTTAAAAATATGAACTTTTGCTGTTTGTGCTGTGACCTCTTCTTGTCACCAACCAGTGGGGGGAATGGGCAGAGGACAGCACGACCCTGCTGTCAGTGGGGGACAACCTTCTGGTGGAGGTAGGTTTTAGACATGAATCAGATATGAATGAGTGTGTATTTGCCTTGCAGTCCAATGTTTCTATGAAATCTATGCAGCATGTACCACATAACTAATGAGTTATCTGTTCTCATCAGGCAGAGGAACTACTGGACATCAGAGAGGTACAGCTGGCAGCAAGACTCATTTATAAGTCAAAGAAGTTTATAAAGTGAAGCTAATTGATCTGTTGTCTGTATATGTGCGTTATCTGCTCTGAATCCTGCAGGATCTTCTAGCACCTCTGACTCAAATAACAGAGACAGTAGACCCATGCTGGTGAATAGTAAGTTGCTTTTCCACTTAATCAGCATATACATCAAATTCAGTTTATATATTTAATTTAGTTTTTAGTTTAGTTAATGAATGAATGAATAAAACTTGTTGATCACTGCAATAATGATTCATGTGGGTAAGTTGTACAGGAATTCAAAGATTAGGAAAACTAAACAGCTGAGTACACAATGATCATTTATTTACACTCACTTTCTTTTATTTTAGTTCAGTCATGTGGAGCCCGCCCATACATCGAAAATGCTGCAGTTGTGGCAGAAGGTCCAATGTATTTAAAATACCAGTGTAATGGCTTTTACAAACTAGCTGGTCAAGACACTGTGAGTTGTTACAGTGATGGTAGCTGGTCCAAACTACCCACCTGTGAGGGTATATGAAAATTAATTTTTACTCCAAAAGTTTATTAAAAATGTTCTCAAAAAATCTTCTTATGTTTGTCTGTGAATGTTCTCAGTCATCCAGGTCATCGTAGTCTAAGGAGCTTGCAAAGAAAAGCGTCTGGAATTCTTTAAGTTGCTTGAAGACGTTTCACCTCTCATCCGAGAAGCTTCTTCAGTTCTAAGGTCAAATGGTGGAGAGTCCCAGATTTAAACCCAGTGGTAGTATCCCCCCAAAGAGGGACAAAAGGACCCCCTGATGATCCTCTAATCACATGAGCCAAGGTGTGAAACTGGGTGTGG